AAGCTTTCGTGACTCTGAGGAGCTATGATTCAAACAACACATTTGTGTAGTATCTACTAGGTGGCAAGCGCTGTTCACATGTGTTAATTCATTTGATCCTGCCCTACAATTTAGATACTTTGGTTATCCTCATTTTACAGCTTGGGGAACTGAGGCACACAGAGAGGATGTAAGTTAAGTTCTCACGGCTCAGTAGTGACAGAGTGGAATTTGAAGCTGGCCAGTCTGGCTCGGGGCCCACTGCTGTCTGCAGGTCTCATCTGTGCTGGATAGAGGGTATGGAGCTTTCTGTCTTTGTTCCCAGGGCCTGGCGCACAGTAGGCATAAATATTTGGTGAGGAAATGAATGAACTGACGTGTGTATATGTATCAGGTGTTCTTGTTATTTTCAGGGTGAGCCTCAGATGTGAGAACCACTTGAAACCAATTAGATGTAAGCATCCGAGAGCAGTTTAGCTTAGGGCCAGCTGTGAACTTGGAGAAATTGCCTTGGAAGCAGTTGCTGTGCTTTGGTCTCTGGTCTGAGAGTGACCCCTTGTGATTTTAAAGAGGAAGGGCAGACGGGAGAAACCACCTTCCCCTCTGGTTTTCTTGCCACTCCAGGGCGCCCCTCCAGTATCAGTGTGCTGTGCATGTCGCCAAAGCCTGGGCCTTATCTTAGGGTGGGGGCTGTGAGTCTGCATAAAATGTCTGAAGCCTCAGAAAGTGGAAAGTGTCACAGTTGATCTGTGGCATCTGGCACTACTTTGAAGGCTTTCCGAGCCACTTGGCATCCCAGAGGGCTGTACCTGACCCAGTGATGGCCTGTCTCCTGCTTTGTGTGGAGAACTGGGGCCTGTGATCAGTAAGATCTGGGTACAGGCCCTCGAGGGAGGCCCTTTCCTTGGTGACGGAAGAGGTGCGTATCAGACACATGGGAACAGACCTTACAAGAACACATGATCAAGGTGGGAGTGCTCTTCCGACCCTCCTCCTCTCCTTCTCCTGTCATCGTGCCTTTTCCATGGGAATAAAGCTTCTACTCCTTAGAAGTACTTGTACTTGCCTCCATGGTAGGCTCTGAATCTGAAATATGGGGATGAACAAGGGCCACATGGCCCTGACCTGGAACAGGAGCACTGTCTCGGGGCTTTGGGTGGACTGGACCGTCAGGATGTGAACAGTGTCATGGAACAGACTCTTTTACTGAATTAAGTTCTGTTTCCCTGCTGACTCCCTTGCTGTTTCCAGGCACTCTGTCTTATGAGAGGTCTTCATTTGCTGGGAGTGTTTGAGGTCTTCCAAGTTTCTTTGTCCCTGATGAGTGTCAGCACACTGTCGTGGGGAGGCTTCGTTGGGGTTCCTGGGAGTGAGCCCCGCAGCCTCTTGCACGGGCCCCAGAACAGGCCAAAGTACCAGGGCATCAGGCTTGAAGTTGGCCCACCAGGGGCTCTTGCTTCCTGACAGTGCTGCTATGTCCTCTCCTCCCAGGTACCTCATCAACTTCCTCCTGGACGCCACCGTAGGCATGCTGCTCATCTACGTGGGCGTGCGTGCTGTCAGCGTCTTGGTGGAGTGGCAGCAGTGGGAGTCTCTGCGTTTTGGCGAATATGGTAACGTAGCATGGACATTGGTAACATAGTATGGAGTGTGGGGGGCGCTTCCTAGAGGGGGCTCTGCTCCTTGTCCCATACAGCCCTCCAGGCCAGTGGATTCAAGGGTTCAGGAGCCGGTGACTGTCTCCTCTGTATGCATGTGGGGCCAGTTCTGGTCCCCTGCTGGTATCTGAGTGCCACACATCTGAGGTGGGTAGGTACGCATATCACTGCCACTAGACGGCAGGAGCCAAGAGACCCTGGACACAGGGAGAGCCACAACATTGGCCTCTTCCACCAGAGGGCACTGGAGGCCACACCTGCTGGCTGTAAGGCCACCTCACTGTGCCGAGCTTCCCACTGAGTACACACCGCCTGCCCACCTCGTTAGAGAAGGGACGGCTCTTGGTTTGGGAGGTGCTCAGTAGGGAACTGGCCCTCTTTGTGCCGCATGTCTGTGCTTGTCCTGCCATTGGGCCATTTCACTACAGGGGCTGCAGGAGCAGGATGGAGGATTCTCCCCTCCCTGGGGCCAAGTTGCCTTGCTGCCTCCTGACAGTAGGCTGGCCCCCACCAGTTTCTGGCACATACGGCTGCCAGGGACACCAGGTGCAACCTCCCTCAAAGAGACGTGGCTTAAAACAGGTGACCTCTGGCTGCTGGCTCATCTTTGACCCACCCCCCCTCCCCTCAGGCCCCAGGGACAATGGCCTGGGCAGGAAGTTCCCCTGAGGCTGTCTCCCAGCACAAACACATCGCCCTTGACTTCGACTTCGTACTCCCAGGGAAGCGGATGGCTGTGGCCTGAGCAGGGCTGCAGAGACAGGAGCCTCCTTCAGGCCTTGCCACACCCTGGGAATTTCAGGACCACCTTCATAGCTGGTCCCTACTGTTTGGGAGCAGGAGCTCCTGGTCTCAGTGGGAACAGCATCAGCGGGGCCTTGGCCACATAGGGGCACACACAGAACAAAAGGGAAGGAATTCTGGACCTCCACTCTGTTTCCTGTTCATACCTTCCACAGAGCTCCTGGGTCTGGGCCTCAGAGCCGGTCACTCCTAGATGACTGAAAACTCACAAGGTACCAACATGTAAAAGGAGCCGATTCATGGAGCTGGCTCTGAGTGCCTTGGGTATTTCTAGAAATCTTAAGTAATTGTTTGTCTCCGTTGAGGGGAGATGAACTCAGGGGAGGGCTTTTCTTAGCCCCGTTACTCAATGCCTGGTGAGTCACGGACTTAAAGATAGTGTTTGACACACAGCGTGTGCTTCTGTGGTTCAAGAGAAGGCTTCTGAGAAGCCCCGAGTCATGACTCCTCAGCTTAGAGGACACACTCGGACCACAGCGTTGCCATCCTCACTTATAGGCTCATGCCCAGAGAGGTTAAGTGACACAGCGAGCCAGTGCACAGCTGAGGTGGGGCGGGGGGCGGGGGGGTCTCCTCTCCCACCAACTCCAAGGACGGTGCTGCTCACTGCTTGCCACTGAGACCCGTCCTGGAAGGCGGGGCTCTGGACTGCACTGTGGTGACCACTGCTGTGGGAGGTGTACCCATGGCCCCTTGATGACTCGAGGGAGGGGAGGCCAGGCTGGCCCTGTCACAGCAGGCACTTCACCCATCCCCAGCGGGTCGGGAAGGCAGCGGCTGTCTGAGCTGCTTGCTTCCGTGCGGTCCTGTCTTCCCACCACTGCATTTAGGAACCGGAGTCTTCAAGCCGGGTGTCTCCAGATGTAGCTGCCCCTTATCCAGGACCGTCCCGATTCCTCCCTCCCCAGGCTGACGGAGGAGGACAGCGCATGTGATGTTGCCTCATTTCTGTTTCTGTCCATGTTACCGGTTTCTATCGCTGCTATAAAAAGTTACCGGGAAATTAGTGGCTTCAAACCACACGGATTTCTTGCCTTACAGTTGTAGTTCAGACATCCCACGTGTGCCTCCCTGGGCTAAAGTCAAGGTGTCGGCAGGACTGGTTCCTTCTGGAGTCTCTAGGGGGGCACCCATGTCCTTGCTTTTTCCCGCTCCTAGAGGCTGCCTGCACTGCCTGGTCGTGGCCCCTTCCTCCCTCCGAGGGGCCTGCAACCGGTCCTCTCATGCGGTATCACGCTGACCTTCCAGCACCTCCTTCCAGCTTGAAGTGCCCTTGTGAGCACTCTGGGCCCACCTGGATACTACAGGATGCTCTCCCTTTCTTAGAATCTGCTGGTTGGCGACCTCCCTCCCCTCTGCCAGGTTACCTGACACGCGCACAGGTTCCTGGGACTAGGATGTGGTCTCTCTGTGGGACCGTTATTCTGTCTCCCGCACCTGTTGACCAGCCCACTGCTTGAGGCCATCGTTCCATGTAAGCCCCAGAGCTCTCTTCTCAGCTAAGCGAAGAAGAAGGGCTTGTTTTCTAGGTGCTTCCTTTGTCCCTAGAGGAGAGGGTGAACTTGCTGACAAGCACCTGGGACTTGAGGAATCAGCCACGCGGCCCTGAGGGGTGAGACGAGATCTAGGTGACAGGTGTGCTTGCAGTCAGATGACCAGGCAGCTTCTCCCCAAGCGGAAGCCCTGAAAGTGGGGTCTCTGCCCCAGGGGCACCAGTGGTTTGTGGGTTTTGCTGCCTGCCCCTGTCCTAATGGCCCCTTCCTGAAGCCTTGAGAGACAAACATGTTCTATCCGTTTGTCCCCTATTCCTGCGATTTATCCTGAGGAACTTATTCAATAAAAAAACACCCATGTGTGAACCTGAGGCTGTCCAGTGTGGTAAAAAGCAGGACACATCGAGAATGCCTGCCGTGTCTGTTTTTAAACGATGAGACAGTGGGGAACGTCTGAAAGGCTCTCAAATGAAACAAATCTGAAAAACCGCACGTGTGCCCATTCCATCTGGGGCTGCATGTGGTCCGGACACAGCAGAGGAAGGGACGTGTGGGAGCAGGTTTGCACAGGTTTTTTTACATTTTTTTCCACCATGTTTTTTATTAAAGCGTGTAAATGAAGCAAGCCGCAGCTGCAGCTAAGCTTTGAGGGGCAACACGAGGGGAGGGAGGAAAACACGTCCCCCTTTGTCAGTCACCTCAAACTGAAGGGCAGAGGGAGCAGACACACAGAGCAAGTGGGTTTTCTCTTGACATTAAGTGTGGCCCCTTGTTCTGTTGACTTTAAACACGCCAGTCTCCATTCAGAGATACTGCCGGCTAGTGCTCTGTCTCCAATCTTAATGATTTTTAACAAATATTTTGATTGGTTGTTTCTGAGATCTTTTCTCAGTAAGGTCACGTAGTTTACTGAGGGGATTACAGAACTCCATTAAAAGTCTGGCTAGGAGGGATTGTGCTTCTGAAGCGGTTTCTTGGCTCAGCTGTGTCTAATGCCAAAAGTGAAAGTAGACAGAACGAGCTCAAAGGAAGGCCCTTTGGCTCTTCTGCATGCCTTCTCTACCCTTCTCCCGAGGCTTTCCAGAAAAGGGAATGGCCTGATATTGTGTCCATTACAGCTGCGTGAAGGCATTCACTTGCTCTTCCACTGGCAGGCTCTGGCAGGGCTGGGGCCTGTGACAGGGATGGCTACGGAAACCATAGACTCCAACGAGAAGCTGGCGCCTTCTCTCTGGGTCACGTTCTCTTCTCACTGCCTATATTAGGGCCTTTGCCTCCCCTGAAAAGCTACCGTCCACCCTTGCTCTTCTGGTCAGCGGTGGTCATACAAGTGCAGCAGAGCTCCCAGAGCCAGCCCCGGGGACCCCACCGCACTCTCCCTGCGTCTCCCACTTTGGGGAGGCATGTGTGGCTCCCTGGGAGGCCCATCCTGTGGGTTCTGCCTGTCCCTGAGGATACAGATCCTTCCCTGGGACTGGTCCTCCACCCTTCCTTCTAGTCCCTGTTGAAACATTCTGGAGGCCCTCCAGGGCCTGCGTGTACCCCAGCTTGGACTGTTGGGATTTCTCCATTTCTCAAACACAGTGACTGATGGGATCACAGATGGACCCTTGGCGCAGCCCCAAGGCACAGCCCCTCACTGCTGCCCCCTTGCTGTGAGGGCTGCCCACTTTTCTTCTTTGTCCCCAGCCAAAGCTGTCTTGGGCTGCCCTGTGTAGACAGAATCAGAATCCCTCCAGTCCGAATTCTGCCTTCAGGGCTGAGGGCGGCAGGGACAGCCGGGGAGGGTAGGTGGGGGTAGCAGATGAGCAAAGAGGTTATCTGCTGCCATCGCAGTCACAAACATCAGCCAGCCCACAGATGGAGGAAAGGATGGGTGGCACCACAGTCACTGGAAAAATCAACAACGGATAATAATAGCAGTCTTGCTTCACACAGCTCTGCCAGTGGACAAAAAGAGCCAGCTCTCCGAGCCCCAGCAGGGAGCACTTACTAACTTTAGTTTTTTTAATTATATCTTAGAATCTCTTGAAAGAAATGCCACGCTGGTATCTCCAAATTAGGAATTCTCTGATTTTGTCTAAAACACTCACATTTGTCTACTTGCGCTGAAGTGATTCTTGGTGCTTTCAGGGCTCATTAAGTGGCTTTAGAGCCGGCATTCTGGTGTGAGCTGGGGGCGTGAGGGCTCACAGGAGTGGTGGGTACGGGACAGAGGTGTGATGTCCGGGCCCCACGTGACTGCACACCCACTGTCCCCACAGGAGATCCTCTGCAGTGTGGAGCCTGGGTTGGGCAGTGTGCTCTTTACATCGTGATCATGATTTTTGAGAAGTCTGTCGTCTTCATCGTCCTCCTCATACTTCAGTGGAAAAAGGTTTGCCTCTTGTCCCTTCTCTACCAGCTCCTTGGGACACCAAGCAAGGTGGTACTTTTTCCCCTACCTCCCACACATTCCCAACCTTATTAGAAAACCAAATTTGTTGTTTCTTTCTTTCTTGCCTGCATGAATGCAGCCTGGATTCCACGTGATAGGGCCGCCTGTCGAGAGCAGGAGCTTGTTTTTCCACTTAGCCTCCATCTCTTTGGATCATGCGAACGTCTGCTCTAGGTTAAGCTTTGGGATACGTAATGGAAGTAAGAGTCTCTGCCCTCAGATTGCTTACTGGCTGATGCGGTCTTTAGGCCTCATGACTGCAACCCTCAGGAGGGTGCTCTCTACATCTGCACATGTCCTCACGCACCCGTCTTTGCCAGTGGTTTAATTGAGCCCTTTGGTGGCACAGGAAGCTCCTGGTTGCACGTTGTTCTCAGGGTTCCCTTGGCTTTGCCCTCTGGCCCCAGTGCCCATTTCTTCCATGTGGCCACATGAAACCAGCCAAAGAGCCTTCGGAAACAAGTAGCTCAGAACTTGGCTTTCCTTTGGTTTTATTTGTATCTGCTTTTTATTTTTTAAGAAAATAAACCAAGGCTTTTCAGAGCTGTTGTCCTTCGGGAGGTGGTTGGGGTGCAGGACTTATGTAAGAAAGCGGCCTGGCACCTCATTGCTAGTGCCTGTAATGAGCATCCACTGACCTCACTCCCTCTATCTCCCCAAAGCCTCCCCACCCTCCATGCCTCTTGGTGTGTGGTTGTAAGCCCACTACATTTCCTGAGTCCACAGCCCTGGGCAAGCTGTGAAAGCCCTAACTGCTCCAAGTGCTCTCCCTGGCCTGCCTTGTTAGCAGTCACACTTCGGGACAGCCTGTGCAGCCCTGGGCATGAGGTGCTCTACCCATCAGAGTTTGGGGGACTGTGGTCTAAGCTATGCCGCCCTGCTCAGGGCCTCATGGATTGACCCGTGCCGCCACCCCCACCCTCAGGTGCCTTCCCTGTGGTGTCTCCCTACCTCACGGAGTCTGCTTCTCTTTACAGGTGGCCCTGTTGAATCCCATTGAAAACCCAGACCTGAAACTGGCCATCGTCATGCTGATCGTCCCGTTCTTTGTCAATGTCAGTGCCATGTTGCATTTTCCTACCCCCACGTGCTCTCTGCCTTCCAGTGTCCCATTCACAGTTCAGAGTCTGACAGAGAAAGCCCCTTTTGGCCCCCACGTCCCTCTGTGTGAGCATTTGCCCTCGCTCCACCCCCACTCCAGACGTGAAGATGGCAGGATTGCTTTCTCAACAGGCACACCCCATGCTCCAGGCCCCCTGTGCAAGATGGAGGGTCCCGGGAACTGTCTTGCCCTCCCTGCCAGGGGACCTCCCACCAACGAGGCCCCACCACATGCATGACAAGGATTTCTAGATCAGGATGCCAGGCTTCTCTCCCTGTCCTTTACACAGAGCTCCAAGAGAAACTCACAAGCACACTGGCTAGAATTAGGAAACAGTGAGAAGAAATGCTACAGGCACCTGGGGCTGACAGACATGGCCGACTATGCAGGCCAGCCACTCAGCCCGTGGAAGGAGCCCCAACCAGGAGCCCAGAGACCTTGTTAGTGGCTAAGGCAAAGGCTCAAGGCAGGCTGTCCCCATCAGTCACCACCACTCGGGGTGAAGAGGGCCAGGGCTTTCTTGCCGGTTCTCTGATAAGAAAGTAGAAACAGAGGAAGTGGAGAGTGGGTGTCTCTTTGAAAGCTTGTGAGAGAGAGCAGGGGGACTGGATGAGGGTTTTCTTCCCCTTGTCCTGGACGTAATCTGGAGCGGGTAGGAGGCATGCCGATGGGGTCTGCTCTGCTTTCACAAACGGCTTATCCCGGAGTAACGCTCAGGTTCCCTCCCCACAGGCTTTGATGTTCTGGGTAGTGGACAATTTCCTCATGAGAAAGGGGAGGACGAAAGCTAAACTAGAAGAAAGGGGAGCCAACCAGGACTCGAGGAATGGGAGTAAGGTCCGCTACCGAAGGGCCGCATCCCACGAGGAGTCAGAGTCTGAGGTAGGGCTGAGCCCCCGTGCTACCACCTGACCCAGGGAGGTCTCTGGTCTCTGTTTGCATCTGGTCCTCTCAGCACTAGCCAGGGGGAGAGAGAAGAGGCTGACAGCTCCATCTGGCAGGGACCCATCCCTGCAGCCCCTGGCCTTCCCAGGGCAGGAAGGTGGAGCACCCAGTGTGGTGAGGGCTCCGACAGTCCCTCCCCAATCCCTCCGCCAGTGGAGGAAGACAGGGAAGGGAGGGGCTGCCTTTCCCTGCCTTTCCTTCCAGGGAAGCTGGCACAGACTCTCCTGAGCCTGATCATTGACCTTTAAGCATTCAGGTGTTTGAATCCCTGCCCACCACTACAGAGCAGCGGAAGTGTTGGCTGAGCTCACTAGAAAAGTCTAAAACGTAGGGGTAGCCAGACCTTCCCAGGGAACCTCACCTTCCCATATTTTCAGGTTTCCTACATTCAAGGGTTTGGACTTGGAGGAGACTGGTGGTCATAACTAGGAGCATGGAGGCAAAGTTACACTCCCTGGGCAGCCTGCACTTCTGTGTGCTGCAGGGTGAGGCCAAGGCTGCCTCCTGAAAGGGCCTTGTCAGCCCCCAGGGTGGGGCTACAGAAATGGCTGTGGTGACATCTTCCCTGAGAGACCTTCAGACTGCATGAGGTGAACGTGTCTGAAGAGCTCTCTGTAAGACTGATCGTTTTGAGATTGAGGTGTTAACGAAAGCCCTGTGAGGACCCTGGAACAGTCTGTTTAACTCCTGGGGGCATCCTGGAGGGAGTTTTGGAAGCTGGGTAGAAGAGCAGGACAGAGGGTAAGCCCATGGCTTCTCTAGGGGTGCCTAGGATCCGACCCGGGGCTTGTCGTGTTGCAAGAGCCTGGTGAACATTGGGTGAATGACAGACAGCACTACAGGCAGAAGCAATGACTCATGAGCAGTCGTGCTCGTGTGGTAATGCATCTGGGCAATGTGAAATCCATCATGGCCAGAGTGGCCTGTGTTCCTCAGGGTAGGATGGGATGACAAGAAATGAGGTACAGGCAAAGGTCTCGGCGAGACAGGCAAGGTGCTTTGTGATTGGGGCACACATGTACAGGCAGTCGGGAGCCAGAGAGAAGGTTTAATCTGGGAGCCAGCCACCAAGGGAGTGGTCCAGGAAGAGGTGATGTCCCCATCCTGCCCCCGGGAGAGCATGAGCTCATGGTCCCCTGTACAGCTGCAACTGTCCCTGTCCTTCTGTGGTGCCCAGAGGTCTGCGGAGCCAGGCAAGTGGTGTGGCAGGTTGGCAGTGAGTGAGTTTGCCCTGGATGCCCTTGCTCCGTGGCCGCGTCATTCCAGGGATTCAGAAGAGTGAAGGGCTCCTTTTGTCTTCACAAGTTACAAAGTTGGCTTAAAGCAGCTGCTCTGAAACCCACTTGCCTCGTATGTGCTCCACAGATGTTCTTTTCCTCTTGAGAAAGGGGACCCTTTTGTTTGCTTTTGCTGTATTGAAGGCAACTTCAAAGACCTGTGATGCCCCTGGTCAAGATTGGGCTTTTTTGCCAGGATGACCTTAGGTTGTGGGTCCTTGCTGAGTTTGCTCTGACTGGGGTTCCGTTCCAGCCGGAGGTTGGATGGAGAAGTGGGGAGCACTCCAGAGAGGTGGGTATGTCAACTCGATGCTGGTTTCAGTAGCCCGTGAATATCCTGAGAGTAAGTGAAGTCTGGGGTGGTCTCACTCTGTAAAGGGGCCTCCCCATCACCCTTTCCTCAAGAAACACGAGACCAGAGGCCTCCCACAGGGGTAGGCACCCTGGTGCTGGGGTGGAGGGAGGGCAGAGGAAGAAGGCACCGCTGGTGGTGACGCAGACCGTGCCTCCCCCGCCCCCCGCCTCAGATCCTGATCTCGGCCGATGACGAGATGGAGGAGTCTGACGTAGAGGAAGACCTGCGCAGACTGACCCCCCTGAAGCCCGCGAAGAAGAAGAAGCACCGCTTCGGGCTGCCCGTGTGACACACTCCTGCGCTGGGGTCAGGTTTGGGGGCCCAGCCGGCTGCCGGGTCCTTCCTTCCCTCCTCCCTGCCCTTCCTCTTCTACCTCCGCCCCTCTTGCCGTCTCCGCCCCCTCCCAGACTACTGTGACTCGACAGAGGGAGGACGGGCCGGCGCCGAGGGGTTTGCGGCAGCCGGAGGCTCCCACTCAGTTGCACTACAAACACTGACCAAATATGCAAGCGAGGCATTTTGTCTGTCTGTCGTTGTCCCAGACGGTGTTGTGAGGGACCCAGAAGCCCCGTCCTGTGTCTGGCTGGGTGGCATCGAGGAGGGAAACACGCACACACACAGGCTGTGGGCAGAACCTTTCCGCAAGGCTCTGGGCGTGTGGACACATAACACGTTTGGGGCTAAAAGTCACTCATTGACCAAGTTGGAACCGCAATGCTTTCTTACTCGAAATGGCTTTGTAACTACTGATTTCTAAAGCCGGTTTTATGAGCTGTCACAGTGTTAATGTTTTTTGAGTATGTGTTTATTTCCTATGGGACTAATGGGCAAAACATAGATTTTTTAAGTCTTCCGTACGCTGTTGACTTTTATATTTTTAAGTTATATTTTCATACTATTGTATTTAAAAACTCTTTTTAATCCCCAAAGAAATGGGTTTGTTTGCCTTCCATGAGATGTGAACTGGTGGGAAGAAAAAGTCAAGAGTTTTGTTAATTTGGAATATTTGTAGGCAATCTGCGATAAGATGAGGTAAATGGTCTCAGCAGGAAGGGAGATGAAGCCTTATCTGAAAGGAACAAACCCAGTGAGTCTGTGTAGGGCAGGCCTGACTGGGAGGCAGCTGGTCTGAAGGTCGATCTAGGGCCCCGGTGCGTGTGGGACAGGAAGTGCTCTGTCCAGTGGCTTGGTTTTTCTGCTGGCAGGTAGAGGTTTTAGTTAAATGTGACCAAGAAAAGAGCCTAAGAGGTCTGTGTCCAGAGAAACTGAGACCTCGAGGCCAGCCCTGTGTGTTCCCTGTCTCTCTTCAGAGCCTCCAAATCTGTAGTTTAAAATTCAGTCTGGGCCTCCTTGCCTCCCACTGGTGCAGCCTTCAGAACCAGCTGCTGGACCAGCCCCAGGAACTTCCTCTCAGGCTGCCCTCTGCCTCTTGTCTTACTGCATCCCCTTGTTTTGCACAATAGTCTGAGGAACCCCTGCCTGCCCAGTGATCCTGTTTCTCACGTCCTTCAAAGATACAGGGCAGCTGGGGACGGGGCAGGTTGAGGTGCAAGAGTTTACCATCTGCCTCCACAGGTAGGCGAGGTGCTTCTAAGCCCATGTGCCCTCCCCGGGGAGCGGCCCCACTCCTCAGCATGGCCACAGGCCCCCGTAGCTTTAGGAGTCTGCTGACCACAGTGGAATGGGTTGGCCTGGGCACTTGCCCTGCTGTGGAAGCAGCACGGTGGAGCAGCCAGGGTTTTGTCACAGCCCAGAGGCAGCCACAGAAGTTAAGGAATAGATAACTACACCACTAAGGTGGGAGCTGGAAGTGAGACAGGTGCAGAGAGGCCACCTGGTCCAGAACCTTCCTTTTAGACCTACATACAAAAGTGCTGCCCTTACGTAGATTGGGTCTGAATTGCAGCGTGGGAGCCAAACTGTTAAGCCCTGGGCCTGCCTCACCTTTCACATCCCACCCAGGGGCAGGGCAGGGGGAGTGGGCTTCTCAGCCCTTCTTCCTGTGGGAGTCTGGACCCAGAGGGCTGAGAGGAACTGGGACCTGTCACTGCCGTGAGCAGCGACTCTGCAAAAGTGGGCATCTGCCACAGGAGGCAAGATTGCGTGCAAGACTAGAGGCTGTGTCCGCTTCTGCCCTCATTTAGGCTGTTAACCCCCTCCCGTCCCTGGCCACGGTGAGGTGTCTGCCCTGGAGAATCGGTGCTGGGGAAGACCAGAATTAACGTTGTGCCTGCTGCACATCAGCCCCTCGTGGCATTGCTGGCTCCCTGTACTTTTCCCTCCTGTTTCATTTTGTCTGAACAACCTGTGCCCATCGCTGTTTCCTGCACCTTACTGAGCTCAGAATCAGAGATGTGCTTTCAGCCTTGAGCTCCAGGCACAGCGAGTGGGAGAGACACAGTCCACGAAAGATGGAAAGTAGGGGTTATGTAAGCCTCAACAATCTGCTCTTCCGAAGGCCCTTCCCAGTGCCTGCTGGGCAGTGGGTTTGGGGGACAAAGTGGTGGAGAGTGAGTGGCGGTTTTTCCCTGTATCCTGATTTTCAATAAGGGCTTTAGTCTCTGAGCCACAGTCATAGAGCTGGCTGACTAGGGGATGAGTGTCTAATCATAGAGGGCCTTGTGGTGTGTGGGACTGGACAGTGTGGCCTTGCCTGTTTGGCCTTATCTTCCTGTGTGTGTGTGCATGGGTGTATAACACACACACACACACACACACACACACACACACAGAGAGTTTGTATTCCCTGGAGTGTTTCCTGCAGTCACTGGGGGTTTTTCTGTGGTACACTGTCCCAGGAGAGACCAGATGCAGAGGGCCATGGTCAGAACTTCCCCTGAGCTGTCCTCCTTCCCTCCCTGGGATGAGTCTCCTCTCCACCTGCCCCAAGGTGCCTTATGAGGTACAGCTCTTTACCCAGCCACATGGCAAGCGTCACTGTGCTTGAGAAACCATGAGACACCAACTGGACATTGTGTGCTATCGTGGACCTAGGCCAAGCCATGCATGATGAAAGCTTATAAGTCAAGGTCATGAACAAGTTTCTTGTAACTGATGGAAATAACCTGATGAGGTAAAACTGTCACATCTCAATGGAAGGAATCATTGTTGGCCTTATTTCCTTTTGTTGTCAGTGGCATGTGGACAGTGGCAAAGGGGGATGTTGGTGAGATCCTGGGCGGCAGTGGCTTCTTGGTCTGCTCAGAAGACCTTCAAGATAAGGGCCCGTGGCCCATTAGTTAACCCACAGGCATGCTGGTGGCCTCCTGCCTCAAGCTTTAACTCATGCCCCTTCCTGGCAACAGGGAGTCCTAGGCGAGTATTGTCCTATCATGCCTTTAAAGGGAAAAGATAAGGCTCAAATCCTAGGCAGTGTAGTCCTGTGGCCTGCAGCACAGAGGCCCCATCTGTCAGCTGCCCAGGAGCCCACTCTGGCCTCCAGACAACAACTCACTGGCCTTTTCACAGCCAGGCCAACATAGACGGCTCTAGGAACTTCTCATTGGCCAAAGCAGCCACCTTGTAGGGTGTAGGGTTGGCGTTGAGATGTTGCACACACTTCCAGCCAGGAGTGGAGAGCTCTCTGCTTTGCCCTGTGCGGCACTGGCAGTTCTGAAGGGCTTTGCTCTTGGTGAGGGACTTCTGGTCCAATGGCTGTCAGCTCCTTGAGCTCCTGGCTGGGTGGGTGGGTTGGTTTCATTTGATTTCTCTTTTCATGATGTTTCTTAGAACTCAGACCAATGTGAGCAAACCATGGCCTATTTCCACTGCCCTTCTGGTGGGGGTGTTTAATCAGTGATGACTCACAGAAACCCATTTTTGAAATGAAAGGGAAGATGATGTACTTAACATTGTACAATGGTTTACAATAAAGTTTCACATCTTAATACCTTTTTTTTTTTTTAAAAAAACCCATCACTTGTGGCTGTTGGTTGTGTGTTCTTTGGAGTTGAAACAGCTTAATGGGGTCAAGAAGATTTCCCCAGTGAGTTAGAAGATTCTCCCCCAGGAAGCCAAGTGTGAATGAACCTACATCACCTCGTGACACACACCGGAGCCAGAATCTGCCAAGGGAACAAGCTAAAAGTACTCTTGCCTTTTCCACTTACCTGTTAAGGCGAGTAAAAGCTGCTTTACCTCCCACTGAGGAGCAAGCAGTACTGGGAGATTGAGGGGTGAGGAGCAAGGCCACGGGGCTGGCAGGCAGGTGCCTCCCTGGGCAGAGCCAGCTGGGGTGGTGGGATTGGGGGCAATGCCAAAGCACCCTTCCCAGGCTGGGCCCACCCTCGGTGCCTTTCGGCCCCATTTGCAGTCCTGGGTCCGTGCCCCTGAGCCTGGCACGGCTCTCATTGGCCTCCTGGGACTTGGAGGGGGAGATTGGAGGCATGACAGCAGTGGAGTGGTATTCGGGATAACCAAGTATCAGTGCCTGGTGGGGTTCTGTCTGCCTGGAGCCTCCAAGGATAAAAATAATCCCCACCACACACTGACCAGGAGCTGGAATGTGGCCGACCTCCCACCCACATCACCTCCCCACACCCATCTCAGGTGGAGAGTTCTGCCTTGCGCCCCGAGGGTCTCCCCTTCAGGGATGGGCTATTAGGAGCTAGCAGAAAGCTAAATGGCCTTCAGGAGAGCCCTTGGGCCTGTCCCTCTCTCCACAGCTCAGCGCCTGGAATGGGCTTGGATCTCGCCCACCTGCTTTCAGCAACCTAAATGTCAGGCCAGGCACCTTTGGGTGACCTCACCCAGTCAGAGGCTCTGTGCCCTTCCCTGCCTACACTCACCAGTGCCCTTACCACAAAGCAGGTTTTCTTCTGGTCCTTTCTGGGCACTTTACCTCCCGCCTTTTGTCCCTTTGCTACCCTTGCACTAGGAGCCAGGCAGAGGGCAAAAACACAGATGAAGCAGCTCCCCGAGCTTCTCACAGCCTCAGCTGCTCACCTGTGAACCATGGGGGGCTGTGCTCACTGTGAGCAAGTGCTCCCAAGTGTCACACACAGGAAGCTTCTGCTCTGCTGCCATGCAGGATGGAAAGTCTCTTTCCTCTGGAATCCATAGAAGGGTAAAAGAGAGGGAAAAATAAGCTCAGAGCGGTCCAGCCTAGCCCAGGGCCCTCCCTTCCCTCAGGGACACCCACCCCTTTGGGATGGACACACCCAGGTGGACAGCTCAGGCTGCCACACACATTCCAGGACCCACGCTCATAAATCCTCATTGCGCACTGCCAGGCCTGGCACCTCCCGCCTGCATAAGAGCACCTGTTCTCGAGGGCCCCGGGTCTCCCCAGCTGTCCTTTTCCACCAGGGCTGTGGCCCCCAGGCAGCAGTGCTCAGCGAGCCCCTATCATCTCTAAGAATAAACTCTGAAGCTGCAGGCTGTGCGGACCTGAATCATCGGGAAGCCCATCGAGGAGGGGAGTGGCTTTCCGGGACAGGCAAGTGGACTATATAAGCCCCAGAGGGCTGGCGCTGCCCCGATCTCTTCCACCGGCTTCTGCCTGCCAGAGGGGAGCCTTTGCAGCAGCTCACGCACAACGCCCACCATGTCCCAGGTAGGAGGGCCCGGCACAGGCCGGGTTGGTGCCGGGGGGGTGGGAATGGACAGCTGGACACTGTCACCTCTGACAGTTGTGTCCTGAGCTGAACTGCAGGCGTAACGAGAAGCTCTGTGAGCCCCTGGGAGGCCGGGGCTCAGGAGGGGCAGCGCTGGGCCCCAGCTTGCCGGCAAACCCCCATTTATCTTGGGTTTGGTGTTGTTCTGTGGCTTGTCAGGAGGGTAGAGACAACATGTATGATACTTCAATTTGTGTCTGCCTTTGTGTGTGAAGAAGTTGACCATAGGACTCGTTTGTAGCCGTGTGTGTGTGTGTGTGTGTGTGTGTGTGTATGCGCGTGCGCACCAGGCGGGATCTGTGGGTGCATAACTTCCCCCAGGCATCTCCCCAGCAGGATATATCTCGGTGCAGGGGGTGTACTGTGTTGCTGCAGGATCCCAGCCCAGACTCAGGGACCAGGAATTCCCTGCACCTGTCCCCAGGGCTTAAGAAGGAATGAGGCCTCAGACTCCTGGGCGCCTGGGGTTGAATGGTAGGATAAGCACTGAGTCTGAATATCCCCAGTCTGGAGAGGGATGGACTTGTAGGTCAGCGCTAAGGCATGCTAAGTGGAGGTTCTCCTTGCTACCTGCTCCATGGGTGGGTGCTGACTTTGGACCGACTTCACGGGCATCTGATTTTTCCACCAGATTCCCACCCCAAAACGCACAAGGCAAATGCCGGCAGTTTGGGGGAGAGAGAGACAATCCCTGAGGGGCCCTTGCCACCCAATGAGCAGATCTTGGAATTTACCCAAGGAAACTCCACTCAAAACCAGCCCCTTTCCCCTTTGCCCTTCGTTCCCAGGCCTGAGACTGACCAGGCAGGCAGTGTCAGGCCACAGTAGCCATGGTCCCCATGCTCCTGGTCTGTGGGGGAGGTAGAGAGAGACGTGGAGGCAGGGGTGGAGCATGGTTGGGAGAGCTTCCTGGAAGAGGAGTGTAGCCTTAAATTGTCTTGAGTTCAGTGACCAGAGAAGAGGGGTCTCAGGGCCAAGGCAGTGAGGTAGGAAAGGGCTTTCACCCTTGAGGCCTCGGGTTGTAAGATGAGGTTCTGGGCTCTCCAAGGCTGGTGCTCAGGAGGCCCCCATCAAGAAGAAGCGCCCCCCCGTGAAGGAGGAAGATCTGAAGGGGGCCCGTGGGAACCTGGCCAAGAACCAGGAAATCAAGTCCAAGACCTACCAGGTCATGCGGGAGTGTGGTGAGTATCCTCCTGGGCAGTGGGGGTGGAGGGGGGAGGTGTCAGTGGGAGGGGGGATGGGGAGAGGGGTCCCAGCATCCTTTCCTGAGTCCAGAGCTCCTGAGCAGGGGGGGGGGCGCTCCCCACAAATGCCCCTGCCCACACCTCCCCATCCTGCCCACAGAACTAGCTGGTTCCACCGCCCCGTCGGTGTTCAGCGGCACCCGGACCGGCACCGAGACCGTCTTTGAGAAGCCCAAAGCTGGACCTGCCAAGAGTGTCTTTGGCTAAGAAGTGCACACCATTCCTCTCGCCACTGCCAACTCCTAGATGCAGGAGCATTTCCCAAAAACTTTTTTTATGCCAGAATGCACCTTCTCACCTGCTGCCTCTGGGACTGCCACCTGTCCCTCAGAGCCCTGGTCCCTCAGCCCAGGGAGTCTGCACCGGCACCTGGGGAACAATAAAGAGGATGCCCAAGTGACTCCGGCATTTGGAGGGTGTTAGTTGGTCACCAGCCATAGCCGCTCAGTGTAGGGGAGGGGCAGGTGGGGTAGGGGGTGGGGCATGTTCTGTACCCTTTGTGGGCTTTTGGGAGGTCCCAGAGGATAAGGCAGGTGCCATTACAGCCACTGCCACATGCCAGAAAGTCTTGGACGTGGTGAACTGGCGCTGAGCTGTGTGGCTTCAGACCAGTCTCTGCCTTTCTGAGTCTCAGTTTTCCCTCCCATCGGAAAAGGGACTAGAGCTGGAGCCTGTTGCATAAAACAGGCCACAGTAACACTGCTCAGAGTGAAGCAGGTGGGGGCCCGAGGCTCACCCCTCCCCCTGCCTTCCACAGAAGATGTTGAGATGCTTCCAAGGACCCCAAGGCTCTGCAGGACCAGGTCACCTCAAAACCCCTTTCCTCTGGGGCCCTTAGTTGTACCACCTCCTTGCCAGCTCACACCCCTTAAAGACAAAACCAGGTCGAGGCCCCTTTCTGGCCAGTGGTAGTCTGCTTACTGAGCTGCTCCTTTCTCAGACTCAGGGTGAGCCTCCCCCTCGCCACTCCCACCGGTCCGCCTGCATTGTGAGAACTCCAGGTCCTTGGCTCATGAGCGGTTCTTCCGTCCTCAGGCTTCAGTGTCCCCTGTGTGCGTGGAACTGTCAGATCCAGGGGACTGCAGGAGTCTGTCCCCCTGTGACAGCAAAGCCATAGGCAGTCCTCCCTGCTGCCTGCACGGAAGTCCGCCTGTCCCCTGGGCATGTGGGGGTGGCTGCTTGGAGCCTTCCCCACATTCTCAGCCAGCATGGCGTCCTTATATAGCTGTCTTCAGGCTGGGCCCGTGCTCTGTGCCCCGAGTGGCCCTTCTGTGGGGCAGGGCCTGGGCCTGCTCACCGTGCTCCTCAGTGGGGGGGGGGGGGGGGGGGCTGTTTGCTCAGATTGCTGACCGGGTGTGAAGCCCTGGATGATCCCAACCATATTCAGAGCCAAAGGGCAAGCAGTATAGATGCGCACAGAGATGCTTTCTGGAGGGGAACATTGACTTGCAGCCAGAGACACAGCTCCAGAGTCCTGGATGCTCCTGCCACTGATGGAGGGGAACTTGGGGGCCGGTCACTGCCTCAGAACCTTGTGTCGGCCCCCGAAATGGCTACTCCCCTCCCTCCCCACCCCCACTGACAAGTATCACCAAGTCACCCTCCTTCCTCAACCCAGGGCTTGGCACCTGGCCACCACTTTCCTGAAGCAACTTTACCTTATCTATGGCCAGACTCGGGAGCTGGGCTGTCCCAGAGCCGCCAGGGACGCAAGCACCAGCTGCATCCGGATCCCTTAATATTTATTCATTTTATTGCTATTTGTTATAAAAGCAGCATTTCAAGTTTATTAAAGAAAAATTGAAAAAAGCTACTGGTAATCCTACCCCAGGCCCTCGGGTGCATTCCTACGGGTCTGGGCTCAGGACAGTGGCACTGCCTTGGTGTGCTGATGGCTGGGTGTCCTGCGCTTTCTCACGCAAGCCATGAATCATGGGCTCCTTGGCATGACCGACCTCCACAGGCTATCTAAGTGCACACACCGCCACAATGAATCACCCCCTTCAGGACTTGTGTTGCACGATTTCCTATCAATAAATTACCCGGAAGGAGACTTCCGGGCCACAAGGTGCAGGCATCTTTATGGTTCTCAGTTTGTATTGCCAAAGTGCAGGTCTTGTTCTGGCAGCCTTGCTGGAGTTGAGCCAAGAGCCCTAGCTAGGTTAATGGGGGCTGACAGCAGCCGGGGACCCAAGGAGAGAGAAGGGGACCCCTGGACCCAGCCCCTCTCACCCCAGAAATGAAGTGTCTCCATCCTGCCTTGGCCCCAGCATATCTTGCCCCACTCAGACACTCCAGTGGCTCCTCAGAGCCATTAGGGCCCTCACTGCCCCGTCACATCAAGCTGGCCTCCGGTCCCCCTGCCTCCTGGGAGCCACCCCCTAGCCCTCCTGTTCTGGGCCATCCCTATTTCCCCCAGACTGGGCTTCTGGAGAGCAGGCTGGTTCACTGGTGTATCTCCCAGACCTAGGGAGCTGGCTGGTGCAATGGCTGGTATGGGGGGTGCTAGTGGCCTGGGGTGACCGTGGACCTTACAGAAGGGGTGCCGTACCCAACTCCCACCTGAGCTTGCTCTTCCTCGGTACATGTTCCTGTCCCCAGCCAAGGTCCACAGGATATTCACAGTTTACTTATCTGAGGCAACTGCAGTTTTTGGCTTGTAGATCCCAATTTCCCAGAACCTGCCCCCACAGGGGCGGGACAGCAAGCATGTTATTAATTCATTCCCCACTTCCTCTCCAGTTCAGAAGCAACCTGCCAGGCACGGGAGCCCAAATGAAGACTTCAGCCCCTGGCCGCGCCTGTGGCATCGCGACGGTCCTGCTCTCTCTGCTGGCTGTCCTTCACACCTCCACCCCCCAAAAGGTAGTGGGTGTCTGTGCGGTCCTGAGTGTGAGTGGTGTGAGCTGATTAGCAATGGTGAGAGCCTCTGCACGTGCAAGCATTATGTGGACAAGGGAGCGTGGATCAGTGTGTGTGCAAAGAGTTGGTGCTGACCATCCACCAGGCACTAGCCCGGGCTGTATGGTTCCTCTCTTACTTAACAGTAGGGAGATCTAGTCCCATTTTACGGGGAGAAAATGCAGCCCAATAAGTTGCTGCTAGAGGCCGGCAGTGGGGGGCGTGGGGAAAGGGGTAGGAACAGGCTTCACGAGGGGCACCTGGGTGGCTCAGTTGGTTGGGCAGTTGAATATCCAGCTTCGGCGTAGGTCACGATCTCACAGTTCATGGGTTTGACCCCCACATCGGTTTGGTGTGGAGTTTGCTTGGGATTCTTGCTCTCTCCTCTCTCTCTGACCCTCCCCCACTTGCACTTTTTCTCTCTCTCAAAATAAGTAAATAAACTTTTTAAACAATGGGTTTCATGAGCCCAAGTCTACCTCTCCCTGGCTGAGTGGCCATGAAGGAGTTATTTATTTAGAGTTTGTTTATTTATTTTGAAAGAGAGAGAGGGGCATGCAAGCAGGGTAGGGGCAGAGAGAGAGAGGGACAGAGGATCCAAAGCAGGCTCTACGCCAACAGCAGAGAGCCCAATGCGGGGCTCGAACTCACAAACTGCAAGATGATGACCTGAGCCGAAATCAAGAGTCAGAAGCTTACCCGATTGAGCCACCCAGGTGCCCCAGGAGTTATGTACTCTGTGTCTGTTTCCTCATCTATAAAAAACTAAAAAGAAAAACTATTCAAACCTGTAACATTTATAAAGAACTTAGTACAGTGCCTGCCACCCAGCAGACACTCCCGTGTATACATAAGCCGCTGGGCCAGTCACCTGTCTCTGTGCAGACAGAGACACACCTGTCGCTGTGCACCTGTCCGCGTGCACAGCGGAACATACCGTGTGCAGGCAGCTGGTGTACACATGTCCTTCCCTGGGGACCACAGATCTGGAGGAGAGCATATGTCTGAGGAGGGTCCACAGCTGCAGGGTCAAGGGGGCAAAGAGGAAGGCTCCCAGCGATTAGAGACTGGGTCCTCATCACCTCCAAGTTCTCCTAGCTCCTGTGAGCACCTGGTGGGAGACAGGCAAGAGCTGTTTTTCCCAGTTTCCACGAGGCTGAGGTCACCAGAAATCACAGGACTTGTTCATTGCCCTTTTAGTGGGCAGAGCTAAGATCAAATGTGAAGCTTCCTGACCCATCTAGGGCCCCCTGCCTGAGGAGTAAGTGAGAGTTGCTTCCCAGACGCACTGGACCGCAAGCTCCACCATCATGGCCCTGAAGGGTGGGGAACGAAGCACATAGCTGCCTCTTATGTGAGACTGGTGTTCACATGTGGAATGTATCATGGGGTTTGGCTGGAGGCCTGGTCAGTGGCTCAGTCGGGGATGGGGGCCAGGGCTTGGTCTGGGACTCTTTTTAAAGAGTGCTGCCTCGAGCTGGACTGGCATTGAGACAAACCCATTCCTCCTCCTTCATTGGTCCAGAATGACATTGACATCTACAGCCTCACCGTGGACTCCAGGGTCTCATCCAGATTTGCCCACACAGTCGTCACCAGCAGGGTGGTCAACAAGGCCAATGTTGTACAGGAGGCCACCTTCCAGGTGGAGCTGCCCAAGAGAGCCTTCATCACCAACTTCTCCATGTAGGTACCTTCCTGCCCTCCTCCTCGTCTCCCTCCCCAACCCAACACCATGACACCAGCTTCCCCGATGGCACCCAGTCAAGAAGAGCGAGTCTCTTCCTGATGTGAGGTGTGCCTTAGGTGTGTGTGCTCAGCCTATAGGCAATACAGGGAACCAGGGACTTGACCCACAAACTTCTCAGAACACTTCTCAGAAGTGTTCCATACCTCCGCCCTCCACACCTCCCTCCCTCCACCCCTCCCTCCTTCCATCCACCCCACCGTCCATCCCTCTGTGCACCATCCCCAAATACTGCCCAGTTGACAGGTGGAAAACCACAGCATCTTGGTTTCTTTGCCTCTGAGGAGTACAGAGTTGGGGCATCCTGAGGCCCAGGCCCAGGCAGGAGGGAGTCACCCAAAGGCAAGGTCCAGCTCAGAATACAGAAGACTTCCTAACTCTGGGACTGCCCCACAATGGAGCAATGCCTTGAGGAGGGGGATCTCTTTGTCATAGGAAGTTCCAAGCCAGGCTAGTCCCCTCCCTCCCACCTGGGATACTGCAGAGGGCATTTCTGCTCTGGGCCAGAGGCCAAGAATTGGGAGACCCCTGGGATTTCTGTGGACTCTGTGGCTCAGTGCTAATCCTCACCTTGTCCTCCTCACCCTTCCCGAATGTTTTGCAATGTTTGTCCAATACATGAGAACCCTCTCTATCTGTCCTTGTCCCCACCAGAGAGGCAGTGATTGAGGGCAGGCCAGAAAGAGGCTGATCCCAGCAACTCAGGGAGGGTGCTGGGTGGGACAGAGAGCAGGCTCAGCCGGGGTCCCCAA